CTACTACGTTACTACACACACACGACACAATATATATATATATATATATATATATATATATATAGTTTACTCAAGCACATCTTCCAGCAAATTGATTTCATAATGTACATGTATATTCATAATATATGAGTATATCTATATCTGAGTACATATTCGTGTTTTGGTCTTTGTATAGGCATCGGCATCTGAAGCCGAGAGCACAAACTATTATTGGTACTCCCCATACCTAGAACTTTTCTTCAGACCTTCATTTTTTTCCGCGATGTCTAAGCCAGCACTGACATTCACACATTCGGCCAGGTCTCCCGTTTTACATGCTAGCTCCCATGCGCTAGCCATTTTGTCAGTGAGATATTTTAAATGGCACTCGGATAAGTCGACCGTTTGTACGTTACGGTGGAATCTGGGGTCCGTATGCTGTCTGTCAGTCGACTTAGCTAGTGTTCTCTACTAGATGACCCATGCAGCATGCAGTTGTACATCACCTTTCCGCCCTTCTAAACTACTTTTAATACATAGTCCTTATAATGATATCACTTGCAAGAGTTTATAGGTGACATTTTTACAGAAGTGTCATCGCAGGGTTCGTGTCAAAAATCCGAACGGTTTTTTAGAATAAAATCTGATGTTCGATTCAAAACCGAAATTTAGTTAAAAACAGAAGAAGAAAAAGTGCTCCTGTTTAGTGTTTGTCGCAATTTATATCCCAGTAAGCATTCAAAATACAAGTTTAAGTCATCTTTTAAAAAAGACAAAATATTGTGCTATATACATTTCCAACGAAATATTTCAACCTAATTTTCAACAACATGTGTGCAATTTCTATTGGAAGATTAGAAAAGCTGTATTAGAAAATTGACCGTCAAGATCTTAACGATTAGGTTTTTCCCAACAGACAAGTAGCGCGAATCAGAATTGAGTTCATGACGTTGCTCGGGATAGTTAAAGTTACTGTACGTTTGTTTGTTCTGTATTTTGCATCTTTTGTGTGGAAAAGAATATGTGGGATTTGTGTTCTATGGTGCCCTCTTGAGAGTAGACTATACACACCGGTCGTTCACCTCTATATATCCTCACACTCACAATACACAGTTAAAACCCAATACTTTGATTGCATTAGAACATTATTACCTTAGAACTTAAACCTATGCTGGCTGCAATACAACACCCGCGCATGTCTCTATCCTGCCAGTTTATAATATACAACTTCAATCTGTATATATAAACTTGTGGACAACATGCAGTCACCCATATCAACCCGAAAGGAACGGATGTCCAGCATCACATCCAAAAATGGCTATCGATCCTCCCCTAATTTATCGAATGTAGTTCGCAAATTATCAGCACTATGCCTGCTGCCTTCAGATGTTCAGTCTATGGCGGATTTACACTCTCATTTGCGATCGGGTGAGACCATTCGTGTGGTACTAAACTCAGTGTTCAGCGGCGCTATTCCAAGAAAGATCCCAAGAAGGTATGCAGGTACCCCATTTAAATAAATATAAGACGGTTGATGTACGCAGAGCTGCCTCAATAATTGCTGATGAATTTTATGTACCCCTTGTCCTTAAATGATATAGATGCATATTGTTAGCTACGGAAAAAATTTGTTGACGCACGCGCGATGATATTTGATTAACTAATGACGTGCACGTGCGATATAAATGCTTTATTATACTTCATCGATATATATGTCGATAAGATACCTGTACAACAGTGTATGTTCTAATTGCATACATGTAAATGTCCTTGCATAGATATAAACCAAAATGATGTATATGTATATATGTATATATATATATATATTTATATATATGTATATATATACATACATACATACATACATACATACATACATACATATA